TCGATGGCACAAACACTCTGGGCCCACACGCCGATCTCGACATCATGCGTCGACATCACGCGGGACCCACATGTAAGAAGCCAACAGCACTAAGGTGACGCTATCGCCGACGTCACATCGACATCACCGCCGACGCCGCCAGCCTCGACCCACACGCCGCTGACCACGACCGTTGATCAAGACCGTTGACCGTTGACTCGTCGACTGGCCGTGGCCGGACCCACCGCCGCTGACTCAATAGCCTCTGGCCCCACCTGTCGGTAAGGATGACGTTGATGACGTCATGTTGACGTCAGCTAGACCCCACCTGTTAGCTCGGAACCATGATGCTGACGTCAGCAAGCCACGTGGACCAACCACAGCGTGACACGTGTCGACCGGATTAAATCAGCCCTTTTCTATTTTCAGGAATGATTTAAACTTCGGAAAATCATAACTAATCCATACGACCTCAGAAAAATATGAAATCAGGACCAAAATTCATCTAAAATCGAGCTCTACGCAATGAACCCATGTTTGAGTGCATTTGGCTCTTTTGAATTTTCATTGCTTCCTTGTGCTATTCTATAGACGTCACTAACGCGACAATAATGCGATCGTTTGCAGACTCAGAGGAGAACCGGATGGACGAGGATCATGAGTACCGTGAGGAGTACGGAGACGACTACACTGAAGGTGCCACATCCCACCCAATCTCGTAGCACCTATTATGCATGGCTAAAATAGAAATGCTAGTGCTTTACTTTGTTGTTATGATCACACTATGGTAGGACTTGCATGGTAGTATGCTTTCTTGATAGCCTTTACCTTGACGCAACCTTACCCCTGCTCACGCTGCTGTTAGGCTAGTAACACGCTTGCTATTATATTCCAATGCTTATTACTTCTACTACGCTTACACTACATTGATGCGTGTTGGAAACTGGTGATAATTGAACTATGGGGAGAGTGCTGCGTGTGTGACTTGGGTGCGTGGAGGGTGAGGGTTGTGTCGACCAAGTTGGAGTATACGACGAGCCTGGGGCAAGTCTTGCCGTGGGGTGCTACCTGGGCACCCCTGGAGTGGATACCTGTGGTGGGTATATGGTATATGAGGTGGCCCTGGGTGTGAACCTGTGATGGGAGGAGCCCAAGGTGGAGGTGCTGTGGTGGCACGGTAAATAGAAACCCTGATGGAGACATTCTGGCTTGGTCATCCCTAAGGACTTACTAGTACTTAGATTCACCGGGAAGCCTTACGTACCACTCGCCCTATATGGTGCGGGACGGCCGGACTACTTGGTAGGATATTGCCACTACTGCTAGGTTGATAGTGGACAGTGTGAGGAAGGTACGGGGTGCGGAGGATTTCCCCCACACCCTTCCAAGACTTCATGGAGACCTTGTGGACCCGGCTCATGACTCACAGTTTCAGCCACCCCAGACCGGACTTGGGGTGTACCAGGGCGGAATGGTAGAGTGGCATTATCCTAGGCGAGCAAGCGGCCGGAAGCAGCCCAGTTGACGACGGTCAGCGAGGAAGGCAGATCTTGTGGTTATGTAAAACCTCTGCAGAGTGTATGGTTGATCGATCGATACATATGCCGACTTGTCGGCTATGGACCTTTCCTAGGTTTCGCTTAAACTAGATAGTGAGATGAGTCCTTCTCTTCTCCCCCTAGAAGTGAGTGTTCGGACGTAGCCAGGGGCTACGGGCCTTGAGACAGTGCCGAGAGGGAGTTGGCCTGTCGATTAAGCGATGGTATGGCTGTGGTAAGGTGATGGTGTGGAGATGGTGGTTTATCGATCCCAGGATCGAAACCTGGCTCTGGAATGGGAATGGGGTGGAATGGGTGTGTGAATGGTGTTAAAACTTGACCAACTGTTATTATATACTTGATATGCTAATGCATAGGAAACCCCAGCCTTATAGGTTCCTCTTAATTATACCCAATTTGCATCCAATTTCCACAAAGCAATGCTCATAGGGTTGGGAGTGGCCAGTATAAATCATACTGATAAATTTTGGCACACAGGTTCTGCTGAGGAGTATAGCTCCGAGGAGTTTTGACGGTTGAGGGGTTCGTTTCTACGCTCGAGTTTGGCGATCTTATCTTCAAGCTGTTCTGAATGAATGCTACTTTTGATTTCGCCAATGCGGCGATGTAATAAATTTATGTAATTCTGCACTATTTGTACTCTGATATTATCGTGGTATGGATACGATATTCGACTGGAATTTGGGTAATATGATCTACAACGGTCTTATTACACTTCGACTCTGTGGATTTCCCTTCGTGGAAATCGGGGTTGTTTCAGTTGGTATTAGAGCCATACTTGACCATAGGACGAAACCCTTAGAAATGGACGATAGAATAGGACATGGACATCCCTTCTTTCGGTTATATACCGACCCTGCATTTACTTTTATGCAAGGCTTATCTATTTATTGACCTGCTAACACATGTTCCTTAAAAACATGCAGATGGCAACGAACGTCGAATGGCCGCCTCTAGGACCGCTACCTCTGGACCACGCCAAGCTTACCTTTGACCTACGTGAGCTCGGGGGTTTTGCACAGACCCTCTGCCGAGTTCTCGCCACGTTAGGAGTCCCCGACGAGCTTGTCAAGGTCACCTGTACCGGGAAGTCAACTCAGGGAGGAGGAATCGAAGGACCAGTTGTCACCTCAGTCGAGTTCCCAGCTAGCACCACCTTACCGACTGTCCCAGCTTTCACCGAGTTGACTATAGAGGACATAATTGAGGAGGGACTGCGAGCTGTCTCACACAAGGCACTTCGTAGAGTGATGAGGGATCACTACGAGCACCTGAAGACGACAAAGTTCCGTCTACTTCCCCAGGCCCTTGACCTCAGCCTTACCCCTAGTGAGCAGAGTTTCACAGCCGGCAGAGTTATCCTTGCGGAGGAGGACAGATGCCTTCGTGTCTCGGCTATCCACCTACTAGAGCAGGACAAGTACGTGACCCAGCTTGAGCAGAAGAGACGTCAGGATCGGGCTCTTCTATGGGAGTGCCAGGAGCAAGACTCGCAGGGAGCACAGGAGCGAGCTAGTCTGCTCAAGGCAGTTGCCAAGCTACAGGACGAGCTCAACCGTTGTGAGGAAGTCCACAGAGCCGAGGTCGTTGACTTATAGGACAAAGCAGCCGACCTAGGCAACAGGAACTGCTACCTCGACAGCAAGGTCTTGGAGTTGCAGAGGGAGTTGGATGACAAGAAGGCCGAGTTCAACCGCAGAGGAGATAGAGAGAGGTCCAAGGGGATTGATATGCTGAAAATCCAATCTCGGAACAAGACCTTGACCCAGGAGCTAGAGGAGTTCAAGAAGAAGGCCGTTCGCAACCAGGGTCACTTGTTCGAGGCACTCAGGCAGACCGAGTACCTATAGGACAAGTGCGAGAGGACTTGGCAGGCTTGGCAGAAGTCTGATAAGAAGCGCCTCAGGGAGATGAAGGGTATGTGGGATCAGCTACCCAAGGAGATTCGCAGCAAGACGAAGCCTAGGATAGAGGAGTTCGAGTTAGCACCGACTCGCCTAAACCTAGACGCCTGCCCTACCCTACCTGGAGCTAAGCCTACTAAGGAGCTCGCCGAGGCCTTGAAGTACGTGTCCCGACTTCACAAGTCTGACGAGGAGATCGAGATTGAGAACAGTCGTATCCCAGCTGCTGTGTACGAGTTAGAGTAGATGACCTTGCGTGGTCATGAGATATGTCAGTAGCTTCCATGAGTAGTACCCCATGATGTACCCCTTATGAGATGTATTATGAGACGCTATGCGTAGTACGATTCTCGCACGTCTTCAAGTGTAGCTACGGGAGATGATGCTATGTAATAAAACCCATGTAATGAATGTTTTGGATCTTATTGCATCTTATGGATCTTATTGCTTCTTTGTAATGAGTGTTGGATAGCATAAATGTTTTTCTCTAAATTGTCAAAATCATGTAATCATGTTGAATTATAAGCACTTATGGCACAAGCACTAAAATCCTATGATCCGTGTTGCAGATGCCGAACCGCCGATCTGCTCGCCTAACTCATTTATACACGTCTTTTCTATCCACTTTCCCTTGCCACATGGAAAATTTGAAAAGCATAAAATGCATGTCAGCCTGTGTAATATTGACACATTGTCGTGAGCTTTATGTCCAATCTATGATTCGTGAAGTAGCATGGGGTCTGTCTAGATGCCCAGGTTGTCTGCACTGTTGAGCTAATTGTTTGTTTAGGTGATTTCTCTTGGCCTTTTATCAGGATGCAAATATGCAACTGTGTGCCTAAGCATTTAGTCTAGACTTGCAAAGTTGCAACTATGTCACCTTGATTAGTTTATTTCATATAAAAATATCTAAGAGCTGGTAGTAGATTCTGCTAAAAAACATGTATAATCACCTAGGCTCTTCATCCTAATAGCTATAACTCAATAATCTATTCTCTTTATCTTTTTTTAGGATACAACTGTGTCTATGCATTTAGTTGAGATTTGCTTTGGATAGCAGCTCCATCTCGAAATACTCTTGTTCCTTTTTGATAGAAGAGTATGTATGATGCTCCGATTGCTAAACTTATCAATTGTAAATAACCTTTTAAATTATCAAAGGCACTAGATAATGAATAATAATTTTTCCTTTTAGTATCCATGTACTTTCCTATCATTTGAACACTGACATTAGGCTTCTGCTTCGTGATTGTTGAGACCGACTATTGCAAAGAATGATAGCGTAGGGTCTTTTCAAGTTCGTTGCATGGTGGTTGTGCTATACTGCTATTTCTTATTCGTCAAGGAGTACTTGGTGAAAGCATCCTTGGTGGACACAGCAATATTTTTAGCTATATAATTTGTCAATTACTTATGCTTAATGTTTCATATCAGTAAGGCAATTTTGCTTGTGCAGAGTGTAAAAACTATAAGGCATGGCAATGTTATTGAAGGAGACAAGTAACAAAAATAAATGGCAGCAGGAAGGGGTTGGCACACCTGGTGGCAGCAGCGAGCGATGGTGAAGGAGGCGTTGAAGAAGCTGGGGTCCACCGTGACGGAGTCCTTGGAGCAGTTGCAGATCACGAGGGTGTGCAGGATGTGCGAGGCCTCCTCCGCCTACTTCCTCTAGTTCTTGTTGCTTCCTCTTCCGAGCGCAGGATGTGCTTCCTCTAGTTTCGCTCGACGGGATGTGGCGTCGTGGCCAGCTGCGGGCCGTCGCGGCCAGAAAAAATAATCACAAACTCCTTTGTAATAGATAAGATCATAAATACCCGAGCAAAGCTTCAGGAACAACAACGTCTACCCTCATTAGGTGCTTTATTCAGTCCAAGCACGAGTCATATATTTGAAAAAGTCATAGCATGTTTCAATTGCACAATATACAAAATTTCCACATTTCAGATAGAAATGCTGACACTTTTTAAGGAGCGGTATTTGGATGAGCTTCTCATTTATTAAACAACACCTTTGACAAAAGCAGTATGTTGCTACTTTGCTAGTCATATCACGAGCGTTGCAAGCTGGTTATGAGGTATATAGAATATAGACGAAATCAGAAATCTACAGCCTCGGTTTCCTATGGTTGACCCTCAGGTTCAGTCGCAAAACATCCAAGGAAGATGGAGATGGAGACATAGGAGGGAGAACAGAGCGGTGAGGGGATTCAGGTACCTGGTGGTGACGCTCTAGCGACCCAGATCCGAGACAAGCTTGACCTCGCGCCGTAGATCCGTGGTCGTCGGCTTCCGACGAGGTGGACGGGGCAGAAGCGGATAGGGCGTACCGCGGGGATGAAGGATGCTGCACCACTGCGGGTAGGGAGGAGCCGCGCCGCGGGCGCGCTGCAGGGAGGGAGTAGCTGAACAACGACCGGACGACCTCCTGTGGCGGGCCGGTGCAGCCGCGCAGGGAGGGATGGAGCGCGGGGTGCCTGGGGGGCTGAGCTTGTCGCAGAGGAGAACCGGAGAGGGCGGACGCGGCCACCTGCGGGCGGGCGTGGGTGCAGGGTGGGGGCGTGCGGTGGTGACGCGGCCACCTGTGGGCGGGCGCGGGCGGCGTCGCAGCTAGCTCCGGGCGGGCGCAGGGGGCGTCGACGCGGCCAGTTGCGTGAGGGCGACAACTGGGGCGCTCCGATGCGGAGGAGGGCGGATGAATCGCGGGGTCGAGGCTGAATCACGGGAGCGCTTTCCTTTTAGCTATTTCCTTTTCAATGTTGTCGCAAGGGACGGGCGTCGGAGCGAGTCTGCGGGAACGCAGCAGGCAGACGACGGACCTCACGTGACAAAGTCGCACCAAAACGGTGTCCATTCTTTGTGAGAGATGAGAGATTTAGGGAAAAAAAAAGAGAGGAGCATGATACTACTTAGTGAGGACAATACACTGTAAAAATTGAGCACTTCCTTGTGAACTATCGCACATAAGCACATTTATGGTTGTGACGACAAACAAGAGATGATTCCGGAGATCTAATCCTCTTTTTAGCAAACAAGATGCAGCTGCGGTTGCTGCTAGCTTAGATGCATAGGGCTAACAATGGGATGTTCTTTTGCCGAAAGTTCATTTTCTTTGCTCCGTGTGCTTTAATTTGCAGTAATAGGAACGATGACCACCATGCACTAATCTAAGACATGTGTTTCAATTGTTTTGTGCAAGAAATATAACCATCTTCTCATTTGTTTTTTCGGCTGCTAGATCTGGTAGTAGTGATATATATGGTTTAGTGATGGTGGGTTAGATTTTTGCAATCCCACTGTATGGAAAAGGTGGAGTCACTTGAGCTACAGCGACTGCAAAATTGCTCCAACATATTTTCTAGTGTGTTATTAAAGAAAAACCAAATAATAATAAGGGATCAATTGAGATACTCCTAGATCTAGCTGTTTAGCTAGGGCTACGAGACCTACATCTTGTTTGGTGTGAGCAAATTAACAGGGTTGTCTCAAATTCAGGAGATGTTCACTGGTTCTTGAACGAGTGGTGCTCTATCTAGGGCCTGATTAGAGCGAAGTATTTTCAAAGGAATTTCAAAGGATCGCCAAACCTGTATTTTGTTGACGTCACCTACCGTTTGGAATGAAGGAATGGAACTTCCCGTTCCTTCGGAAAGGTTTCCTTCGCTCATCAAAACGCAGGAATTTTTACATCCACTCTTGACCAAAGTTTTCGCGGAAGACCGAAGCGCTCGCGCGCGAGAGAGAGAGCGCTCATATGGAGCGCGGACGAGTGTTTGCCTGGCCGCACTCCTGCGGTGCCGTCCCGTTGTGCCGCTCCAGATCTCGCCGATGTTCGGTTCGCTCATGCCGCTCCAGGCCTCACCGGCACCGGGGCTGCCTGCGCCGCTCCCGCTCGAACACTTCACTGCGCCGCTTGTGCCCCGCTTGGCCGCTGCACCGCTCCGCCAGCACCCCCCTGCACCACTCCGCCGTCCCTTGGCCTCACCAGCGCCTGGTCGTATCCGCTCGGAGCCTTGTTTCTAGGAAAGGATAAGGAGAGAGAAGGCTGCTGGATTTTTTATTTGGCTCCATCGTATTCATACGGTGGATAAGCAAGGACATGGACCTGCAGGCCCAAATGTAAGATAGTCATGAAAAAATGCGCAACTAAAATATTACTATCATTTAGCACTAATAATGACACTTATACTCACATATTTTATGATTCTCGTGTTATAAATTCCTGTGTTCCAAACAGCATAAATTTTCTATTCCTGTGTTTTGAAATCCCATAGTTTTTCACTTTTCATCGTACCTTATTCCTACGTTTTTTTCTATTCCTGCATTTTTTATTCCTTCGTTGCAAACAGACCATAAAGGGCACTAACATTAACTATGCCAGATACCCAACACTACTACATAAATAGTCATCACTAATGGTGCTTTTACCGCTGCATTTATTAAAACTGGCGATCTAAATGAAATTCTTTCAAAGAAGATGTAACTCTTGACGATTGATCTCTGATTTTTTTTGTGAAACTGACCATTGATCTCTGATGTCATGATCTATGATTGCGAATTTGCAGATTGGAGTGGGCCCACTCAAGAACGACACAGTTCGGTTAGCTAATTTTTCTTTTGTCATAGTGTCTAATTAGGTCGTGCCTGAGCGAGCCCATTTCACCCTCCATTGGAAACACGACGAGGCCCACAGTGGTTGTAAATTGGCATGAGGGCCTACCAAAAGAAGGTCCAAATGCTTCCATTCCAAACCCACTATTGGGCTGAATGGTCATTTCCGTTTTGCGACGGATGCAAGAGCAAGTGAGAGATGGGGAAGAAAGGGAAGGAGGCGGCGCGAGCAGCGCCGCCGCGAGGTCACCCTCCTCCGGGGCTTCCCCTACGAGCCCCACCAGCGATGGTGGGACCGCCTGGCGCCGCGGGCCGTGGCGGTGGTTACGGGTGCCAACCGCGGGATAGGCTTCGAGGCCGCCTGCCAGCTCGCGCTCCACGGCCTCCACGTCGTGCTCGCCTCCCGCGACGCCGCCAGGGGCCAGGAAGCGGCGGGGAGGATCCTGGCTGAGGTTCCAGACGAGGCGGACGTGAGCGTGGAGTCGCGGCAGCTCGACGTGGCGGACACCGCGTCGGTGGAGGCCTTCGCGGCCTGGGCGGTGGAAACCCACGGCGGCATCCATGTCCTTGTGAGCGCACTCTCATCGCTTTCCCTATACTCCTGTAGTCATGTTGTATGTATGCTTAAGCTAGCACTTGTTTTTGTCTTTCTGGAACTTGGATTGGTAGAAACTAGAAAACGAGAATAGGCTGGTGCAGTGAGCGATACCACAGTCATGTCAGAAACAGACTGTGGTAACTAGTTGTACATGCTATTTTACTTACAGTTACAGATGCGTACCTAAAGGCCATATGTTAAATGTGGAGGTGTGAACTTCAACAAAGGAGCAGATAATTCTGTCGAGTTTGCTGAGCAAGTTATTGAGACGAATTACTATGGCACAAAGCGGATGATTGATGCTATGATACCACTAATGAATCACTCTCCTTATGGTGCTCGGATAGTGAATGTCAGCTCAAGGCTTGGTAGAGCCAATGGCAGGCGGAATGTAAGTTTGTTCAAGACAGGTTCCTATCTCCCCATTGTGATGTATTGTGGCCTTCTTAATATGCAGTGCTGTTGCATTGACATTTGATTTACCCTTTTTTTCTGTTCTGTCAGAGAATTGGTGATGCAAGCCTAAGAGGTCAACTGTTGAAAGATGATTGTTTATCAGAGCAGCTAATTGATGAGATGATCACAAAATTTCTTGAACAAGTCAAGCAAGGTACTTGGTCCTCCAATGAATGGCCACAGATGTACACGGACTATTCGATCTCAAAGCTTGCTGTTAATGCTTATACGCGACTCATGGTGAGGAGGCTCTGGGATCAGCCTGAAGGCCAAAAGATATACGTTAACTGTTTCTGCCCTGGCTGGGTAAAAACTGCCATGACTGGTTGGGAAGGGAATATTTCTGCCGAAGAAGGTGCTGACACAGGTGTCTGGCTCGCCTTATTACCTCAGGAACCAACCACAAATGGGAAGTTCTTCGCCGAGAGATGTGAGATAAGCTTCTAAGGTGACTACCTTATCCATATTCTTGCCCCACCTGCAAGTAGGAAAAAATAGGACTCATGATCTTAAATCCATCTTCACCAACTTCTCTGATTGCTACTCACCATGAGATTCACAAGCCATAATATTCTTCCCAAACACACAAGACAGAGTATTTCTGTGGATAGAAGGAAGTACTAAGTGTACTATGGAGAGTGTTCATTGTTCTGTTACTTAATTCTGTAAATGGTTCATTTATCGCGATGATTGCTGTATTTGGTTACTGATACTTTACCTTGCCTGTGTGATCTATTTAGGTGATTCATGATTTTGGTGCTTGGGAGCAATCATAGGACAAGCAAATGGTCAAGATCATTAAAGGGGCATGACTCTGTCACATTGATGGAAAGCCCATGACCTCAAATTTTGTTAATTAAGGTGATCTACGAAATGTTTGTTGGCCATGAATGAAATACGATAAAGGCGGAATGTTTATCTTGACCACTAGAATGGCAACTTGGAAGTACGACCAGCTGGTTGCTTCCTACATGTGCTATACAAGCTTACAACAATGACCTGTATTGAAGTGAAGTTGTGTTGGGTTCAGGCTACATCACTAGCTGAGTTTTCCTTCGTCAGTATTACTACATGTTTGGTTGGTTTTAGGATAACAAGGTGAATGTACAAGTGCACCATGGCTGTACCATCAAATCATTCAGATTGAAGTGGTTTTAATGTAGCAAGCAAGCACTTGAGTAATATTTTGTCCTTGGAGATGGAGGCAAAATATCTGTAACCATGTCGATGTCAGGGTCAATTTAACAGTCTCTCAACCAAGCTTATCCCCTGCAGATAGAAGGTGCAAATAGCCATGCATGTATGTATCCATTGCGCTTTCAGTCGTCGGAACCTGAAAATTAGGGCTAGGCCATGCCGGGCAGAAAACAAGGCAGCATGACGCTGCATAGCTGGACTTCAGTGGGTCATCCTCCTATGGGCGCCATGGGCTTCTGGTGGAGGAAATTCATTTGTTTCAAATACATTTGTTTAATCCAGCACCAGCTGCTACGTGCACATGCGGTGGCCAAGTTTCCATCATTCTATGGCACATAACCTTGTCTGCCTATCTGCAAGTTGCATCCTCTAATGGAACTGCTCCGTGCACCTTAGATTTGTCCATGTGTACAGATTGGTTCAGTCATTAGCTGATGTAGGCTGGAGTTGCCACCAGCAAACCCTATTGATTGATTGATCCAATAAGTATGTCTCCCTTTTTTATTATACAAATGAAAGGACGGCCACATGGATAGCTAGGCTGCTGCTCGTGCATTTGGCGTGCGTTTTCGTGCAAGTGGTGGTGATATGAACCGGCCAACGATGGATGATGCATTAGTACATTGCTTCTTCGTCTGGAAAGAGTTGAGATTCAATTTCTATCATCCATCAACGAGGCAGCCATTAGCGATTTCACTTCACCAGAATGTATGGTGCATCCCTTCGATACTCTGTGTTATTAAGGCTTCAATACTCTGTTATTAAGGCTTAAGGCTCCGAAGCAACACGTCTCATATATCTTGACGGCGAGGTGGCAGCGCATCACCGTTCGGTTCCGGCCGCCATGTGCCGGTGCTCAGCGTCGTCAGAGGTCAGAGCCCAGAGGCTGAGCCCAGAGAAACGCTTGCGTGCAGGACCGAGCTGGAAAACGGCGCCGGCCACTGCAGCTGATATCGATGCGTCGACGTCAGAACACGACCCACTAGGATTGGCCGCAGGCGCCAAAAGAAAAAAGAAAAGAAAGAAAACTTGCATGCCTACGAGCTCGATCTTGTTTGTTTTCTGGCCGGCCTGGTCGAGCGTCGGTCAAACGAACACAGGCAGACATGGCACTATGGCAGCTCCTGGTCTGTGCTGTGTAGCGTGGGTCTTGATGGCCTGCCGCTGCCCTCATGACCTCATGTCATTTAGTATGTCCCGGGAATGACGAGCCAAGGGGCCCCAGCAAACAAAACCCCTGTGGGCGTGATAAAAGCCAACCAGGGTTGGCTTTCGAAGACCTCCCAGCATTCTTATTCCATACATCTTGCCTGGATCTTAGAAGGGATTTTTTTGGCCCTGTTCGCTTGTCTTGAGGAGTGAGAAAAGGATGTATCACCTCATTTCATTCCATGAACCAAATACAAAAAGTGAGGGGTGAGAAGATGATGTATCACCTCGTTCATCAAACCAAACAATTAGCCTGTTTGCTCGTTGGTTTAACCAAGGCTTATCAGCCAGCCAACAGTATTATTCAAAATATTCCTAGAAGCATCGTAGCATTTTTCAGGATCTAATCATTGTACAAGCATAATTTCAGAATTAATATCAATCATTCATTCATCCCAAAAATTCATTATGCTAGAAAAACTAAATATGAGCCTCTCAAAGGTGACAAGTCTAAAATATACAGGATTTAGAGAGCTCATATACCTTACACCATGTTTCGAATATAATTATTCAAAAATTTATTCTTGCAATTACATGGTATATTCATAATGTGTGATAAACAAATGCATTCAAAAGAGCATAAAAATATCAACACATGTCATATATATATGGACATAAAATAAATATTGTCAATGTATAAAAAAAATTCTGTTAATACTGAACACACAAATCAGCAAGCCGATATCCATGCAATGGCACCTGCGTGGTACTATTTGTGGATGCATCAACATACTATCCATGCATTAATACTTAACAGTGTCGTTATATAGGCGTGCAAGCCGAGTTCAGGTTAGATGGTCATATATATATAGGTCTGGGACCAAAGGACTGCAACTCGGATTCTGTCCGAGCTCGTGTTGTTGCCTAATCCTGAAAACTCGAGGACAAGCCGGCGCCAATGCAGGGCAGCCGGATCCTGAAAACTCGAGGACAAGATCGAGCTCGTATGCATGCAAGTTTTCTTTCTTTTCTTTTTTCTTTTGGCGCCTGCAGCCAATCCTAGTGGTCGTGTTCTGGCGTCGACGCATCGATATCAGCTGCAGTGCCCGGCGCCGTTTTCCAGCTCGGTCCTGCACGCAAGCGTGCCTCTGGGCTCTGGGCTCTGACCTCTGACGACGCTGAGCACCGGCACATGGCGGCCGGAACCGAACGGTGATGCGCTGCCACCTCGCCAGATTACATGCCTCATGTTTTCTGCCGTCGAGATACCGGCCACGTTAACGCCACCAAGAATGTCCTATCGTGTATGGTCAGGCACATCGGAGCCAAGATCTGTGGCACCGAGACATGTTACCTTAGCGTCATGAGTCATGGCGCCGCCCCACAGGGTCCAAAGATGAGTTTACTTCTCTCAGGGGCCAAACTTAATTTTTTTTTAAAAAAAAGCTAAATTATAAAAAATTGGGCCCGAAGAACAGCGCATCACGTGATCATTTGCAGAAAATTTTTAAATAATATTTTTAAATGTTAATTGCAAATCTATCGGCTGTTATTCATTTATCTTAGGTATAACATCATGTCGGCCACTGGACGGCCGACATGACCCTCGTCTGGCCGCTGGAAGGCCTACAGGTCCCATGTCGGCATGTTAGCAGCCGACGCCGACCTGTCAGCACCGGCAGGGCTCCGCTGGAGGGCCGACATGTCCTGTCGCCTTTTGGTCAGCCGACAGGCCCCTCGGCAACACAGCACCCTACTACACTATTTTATGTTGTCTTAGCGGTCAATGTAACACCTCGGTGTTATGCCAGCATTTAGGCACTGCAAATAATGCATATTGTGCATCATCAAGCATCCTAATTATTCATGCCTAATTATATAAATAATAATTAAAACCATGCTTCGAAACATATGAAACATGCTCGTGAAACATGAATGTTGCATACACTTGTTTAGAGTTGTTTTTGCCCTAATTATGCTTGCTAGGTTAGTAAAACATGTTTGGCTATAATTGTAAATCATCTAGAATTATTTAGCATAGTTTTTGGAGCAAAGTTTGTATTCAAATTTTTGACAAAGTATGCATTTGAATTTTTATTGAAAATGGTCAAAATCCTCCCTATTTAGCTTTTGCTTCCCAATTCAAAATCTATGAAAAATTTTTAGTTGGTCCCTAAAGCAAAGTTGTAGAGGATTAAATTCTAAGCAACTTTTATTTTGGGACATTTTCAAAAGAAGTCATTTTCTTGCTCAAAAGGGTATTTGAAAACTGATATTTGAAAATTCCTTAAAATAGAATTTGAAAATGGTTTCTCTCCTTTCACGGGCAGCCGCCTCACTTCTCGCCACAGCCCAGCGTTGCCGCCCAACGATCCACCCACCGCCAAGCGCCTTCGCCTCGGCCCACCCCACCTCACCGTGGCTTCTTCTTCCTTCCCAGCGTGTGTCTGCGCGTCCAAGCCCAGCGTCGAACACGCCAAGGCAGGCGTGGTGGCGCTGCGCTTGTCGGCGCGCCGGCGGGTGGCGTCCGTGGCCCCGCATAAGCAAGCGCCGCCTCGCCGTTTTCAAGCAACCGCAGCTCCGCTTCTCCATGCGCTTCTCATTTTGCTCTCCTTGCCTTCCTCTCCTGCCTCGCGCCCTTGAGCTCTCGCGCGCCATATCGCGCCATCATGAGCCTCGGCCCTTAAAAAAATTTGCCGCGGTGCTCCACCATTGCCCTCAATCGAGCACACATCGCTCCGCCTCGCTCCCGACACCTGGTGGGACACCATTTGAGCAAGGTATAGCGGTCTTGCGGCTTCGCCGCTCGCCGTCGTCATGGCGCCGCAGCCGCTTGACCCCGCCAGGGAAAGCTTCCCCGTCCCTTCTCCATCCCTTTGTGTAGCCTCGCTCGGGTTCGCCACCTTCTTGCGGACCCACAGACACCTGCTGCCGGACATGGCAAGCAACGGCATGCGCTGCCCATTGGCGGCCTTAAGACCACCGCCGTGGCGCCTGGAACGCCGACGTGGCGTGGCGTCTCGCCTCGGCCGAGCTGGGCTAGGACGGCCTTGGGCCGAAGCCCCGAGCCAGGCCGCCGCCCTTCCCCTTCGCTCGGTTGC